CTCCCCCATTTCTGAAGAAGGGTCCAGACCCGAAACGTCAGCTTTCCTGCTCCTCTGATGCTGCTTGGCCTGCTGTGTTCATCCAGCTCCACACCTTGTTATATCTGAATAGAGTTGTTTTGCCATATAGTGCTGTGTTTTTGAAAAATACTGTGCACTTATATGTATGTTTCTACTTTGCCTTTAATTTGTTTTAGGTCTTCCAGCCCTGGTTGTGGCAACATCTGTTGGATTCACCAGATCAAAGGGATATGGAACAGTGAACTAGTGAGTAGGCCGTAGCACTCGTGCCTAATGATTTGTTTTGAGAAATGTATACTCATCCTTTTACTGTAATTTTCACCTCAAAGGGAATCATTACAGCCTTTCAGTTCACAAGGAGTTAAACCTGTAGTGAGTACTTGGCGCAGACTGTTCCTACTTCTCATAAATTGCTGACCGGACTCTTGTGTTAATCGTTCATTTGTCTAGCACCAGGCATGTTTTGGACTCCAGGGAGAAAATTCAGTCATGCAAAATTAAAGTTCGGTAACTTCCTTTAGCTTTTTTTCTTTAACTCCTGTAGCTTCAAGCTTCATCATTTAAATATATAACTATATATGTTTGTTTTATTGAATCTTTAAAAACTAAAATCATTGTAATAATACAGCAGTTATGATACTGTATCTGTCGTGTCCAACTGTTGAAAAACACTATTGTACAGGTTTCGGATATTTATTATATAGTTATTTAATGGTGATAGTTGGCTTGGGCTGGGAAGAAGACATGTACCACTCACTCAGCCAAATACTCTGAGAACTTGTAAATGATGATGGTGATGCATATATAATTTAGAAATGTTTGGAAATTTTCAAAAGTCACATCATATACCTAAAAATCACTAGTAGTTCCTTCATATATTTTGCATATTTTAAAAATACTGTATATTTTGAGAAATGAACCTTACTAATAGAAAAGAAAGCCTTGCTTTTGTAGAGCACCTTTCCTAACCTCAAGACATCCTAAAGCACTTCACAGCCAGTGAAGTTATTGTTGTAATATGGGAATCGTACAGCAAGCTGACCGATAAAGCAGTGTGAACACTAAGGCACCGATTTTCATTCTTGGGGTTAAGTGCGCAGTGTTGACAGAAATCTAGTCAATACAAACCTGACTTTTAAAATGGACACCTACACTTCCCATTTTTGGTTGGGTGGGAAGTACAGGCAGGCTGGATTGGCCGTTCCTGTCAGATCACCAGTGCTGCTCCATGGAACCTCTGTGTCCCCCTCAAGTATCCTCCACGTTCCCTCAGATTACTATGTCACCCCATGCCATTTCTGTGTGCCCCACCCCCCTGTATTCTCTTTATGCGCTATCCAATTCAATGCAAGACCAATGACAGTATTTTATTTTCCTTGGAACATAAGAGTAGGAATGGCCTATTCAGCTCCTTGAGCCTGTACCGCCATTTCTCTACCTCACATTGTTGTTCTACACTACCCCCTTATATTGCATGATGCCATTAGTGTCTAGAAATCTACTAGTCTCGATCTTGATCATACTCAATGACTGAGCTTCCATAGCCCTTTGGGTATAGAGACTCGAAGGATTCAGTCCCCTC